ATTATTTGGCTAAAATAGACAAATAGAGAAGCACAGCTCAAATTTACCAGAGCAATTGATTGATCTGGAAAATGTTACAGGTTTCTAAATAAATCTAGGAACAAGATGGTTCATAGTCCAAACTTATCTCATAGGTGCAGATAAAACAAAAGAGCAGTCGCTATTTATATAAACCTGCTGGGACGGGGGAATCTCGGTGTGCACAGGCAAGTATTTTAAGAGCTTACGGGTGAGCGTGCAGTTGCTGGTGAGGTAAAACCCAAGTAAAACCCAGCACAGGAAACATTCAAGAGAAATGGATTAGACTCTGGGGGGTCTCGCTCAGGAATGTCCCACAACACTGACGCTTTTAGAAGTTAAAATCATTCACCTGCTCTCCTCATTAACTGAGAACGTCTACAAAAGATACAACCGCTTCATTTCAAACTGACCTGGGTTCTTTCCACACCCTCAAAACTGATCTTACGCATTCGTTAAATGCTGTGGCTTTTCCATGCTCTGTTATAAATTGGACAAATGTAAAGATGAGTGCCAATGAAAGTCAATGAACTATGTGGATGACAACATGCACCATATAACCTCAACATTAACATTCCCAGCCATCTATTTAATAACCGAATACCAGAGTTGCATGGAACGAGAACATGAACATCAACAGTGACTCAAAGAGCTGTTGTGTGCATCATGTTTTGTCTGTGACTATTGAGCCACTGGAGCTGATGTAATGTTCTTTTGACAGCAGTTCCTCTGGAAGCACTTAGGGTACGGTTATAGAGAACAACATGTATTGAGAACAGGGTTCTACGCTTACTTTTCTTTTTAGGAGCGCTTGTGCTCCTAATTTAAAAGATTTAGGGGCACGGTCAAAAATTTAGGAGCCCCTTCTAATCAGTAATCAAAAATTCTGATAAAAAATTAACCTTCCCATTACGAGGTGATATTTGACTCCTTAAAGTGATTTACAGGGAATTTTGTTTTTACCTTTGTAATGGCATTTTTCTAACTTTATTAAAAGTATGTCATCTTTTATGTCAAATTCAAAAAAATATATTTATAAACTTTTTAACATTTCTAATTAAAACAACAGAATAAAAAGAAGTAGAATAAGAAGTAGAATAAGAATAAGTTACCAATCAAATGAAATCAGTATTTAAGAAATAAATTTGTGCTACACAGTTGGCACAGAAGAACACACAAGTGGCTTGTAGGTGTATTTTCAGACGTTTAATGAGACTCAGGTCGCATGAGTGCAATTAAATTCATAAATTCATGTTGATAAATTCAATATAAAATTTTGAATATAGAAATATTAAATGATTTAAATAACAGAAAAGATACTTTAAAATTTTAACTAAAACTGCCAGCAGGTGGCGTCAAGTCACTGATTTTATCACTGAATCATTCATTCAATTGATTCATTCATAAACGAATCACCGCTGTGTTTGAATGGAGATGCGCAGCGGCTCAGCTGTTACTTTGTTTGAAACTATTTTCGTTGACGAAATAGAGCCAAATAAGGCATTTGTGTTGTTGTCAGACAATATAAGTCACTTAATATTAACTTCTTGTTTAATTAACTTTTGCATTAAATCAATATCACATTTGCAAACTACCTTAATAATCATTAAAAGCTGTCACTCATAGTTCATCGCGATCTCACTGGAGAGCCCTGGAGAACATTCTGAATAGATTGAATGAAGCGTTTTTCCATGCCTGAAGCCACGAGGGCTGTTTGTGTTTGTCACACAGGCTTTCTAATGGGTACATTTACTCATCCTATTAGATCTAGATCAACAATACTGTTGTGACTCAGAGTCAGAATAACATGACAAGCATAGCTTAATCAAAATATCCTTCAGTTTGAGTTTGCAGACTATTTCTATTAGCTTTGAAAGCATCTATATGCACAAATGCTTCAAAAAGTAATTGTAAGTACGTAATTAGAATTTACAATGCAAGAAGCAAATCCATCATTAAGAATTTTTTTTACTTCAAACCGAGTCCATAATCATGCTTCCTCCAGTGAAAAAGTCCATCTCCTGTTGTCTGTCATTTGTTCAGAGCTGTTTTGGCTTGTAAACGGCGCTTGATCTGTGCAGATTTCTCTCCTGATTCAGACCAGACCACTTTAGGTCACTGTAGGAAGAGTTATTATGGATTATGCACTCGTATTTTAGTTAAAAGCATCTTAATGATGGATTTGTTTCTTACAAACACGCAGCTTTTGGCTTCACAAGATGTTAACTGATAGACTGGAGTGGTGTGGATTATTGCGATGTTTTTAACAGCTGTTTGGACTCTCATTCCGACGGCACCCATTCACTGCAGAGCATCCATTGCTGAGCAAGTGATGGAATACTATATTTCTCCAAATCTGATGAAGAAAAACTAATCTACAAATTTTCATTTTTGTGTGAACTATTCCTTTAAGCTCATAATAATGGCAATTAGTTACTTTTGAGCTTGAAACATGCCCAGTCAAATACACAAATACAAACTTTGAAACTATAGACAAGAGGTAACCACAGAGGCTTAATATGTCAGTCACCATATGAGCTAAAACTGTGTAAACACCAACAAGCTTTTCCACTGATCTGTCAGTCACGGTTGGTCATGGCGTGAATGGCGCCAGGCTACTCGGTGACGGTTACGACGCAATACCAAAGGCACGCCCTGGAAAACGGACAGCCTGGTATCCAGCCGCCCAATAAAAACATTGCATTTTATTTAGTGAAATAAAGTAACAGTAAATTTCGGACTCCCAACAATTCATTTTTGGTTCTCCAAAGAACTTTTAAGTAAACAGTTCTTAAAAGAACCACTGTTTCTTAGAGTGAACAACATACTATAAATAATATTCATACTATAAATAACCTCTGTGGAAAGGAAAGCTTACATGTACGGTAGAGGTTCTTCACTAAACCATCAATGGCAATGAAGAACCTTTATTTTTAAGAGTTAAAATAAGCTTAAGATCAAAGTCAAACATCATATTGGCCAGAAACGGCATAACTTTCCAGTTTCTGGAAAGTTCCATTTAATGGAGGAATTACATAATTCTACATCCATCCAAGCTCTAAAATAACACACTTATGACAGCCACTAAATCACTGCATGTGTAGACAGGGTCGAGCTACCGATCCATAGGTGGCAATTTAGGAACTTATTACGCCAACACAAAGAAACAAGCTCCAACATGGCTGGACTTTCAGTGCAACGTATAACAATTTAATGTTTAGCCACGCAGGCCTGAACCTAAACTACCAAATTGACCAGTAAACACATTCTCAGACGCTGCTCCGTTTGATAGCCGGCTGCGAAAGCATTCAGCGCTTCCCTATAAAAAAACACAGGTGCACTTTGTAACACTGACCAACTCATGATTACCCGCGTTTCATTGGCTCTTATGTAACAGGAATGCACCTGAACAAAACGTCCTAATGTTTTACTAGACTATAACCAACTTATTATTGAAGAATCCCAATGGTCAAGCTCCTACAGACCGGAGCCGCAGTTCACATCCGTCTGTAATGACTCAATCCTGTCTATCACATGGGAAGGTTATGGGGTTGGTAAAGTGTTGGTTGGTGCGTTTCAATTCCACCTACATTCATGTGGACAATCCCATTTTTGATCGACTACTTCCCCAGATGTCCCTAAAGAAGGCTTCATCAAATTTAGCTTACTTCTGGGGACAATTTTGTATGAAAATATAGTATGTGCACACACGCAAGTGAGCACACTACTCACTTACTCAGCTTAAGGTCACTGGCCAGCCATTTGGAAGCACTAAAATTACATGAAATGACTGTTAATTATGTTCATACTGCATTTAAATTGTGTGTTAGCGAACACAACCATTATTATCCACTTAAAAGGCGTCAGTCTCCAACACTGCACTTTTGGACCATTTTTGGTTGGTTCCCCAAAGAATCTTCCAGTAAACTTTTCTTGAAAAAGCCATTTTTTCTTACACTCTCAAAAATAAACGTTCTTTGTTGGTTCCATGATGAAACTTTAACATCCATGCCCTATTAAAAACAAAAAAGGTTATTTATTGATGCCACTAAATAGCCTCAAATGTGTTATTTGACATGCAACATCACTTTTAGAACAAAACTACATCAACATCCCTTCAAATTCCCACATTGAGGAATTCACCAGCTCTATACTGACGCACAAACCAACAATTTTACACTCTTTTCTCACGTTGTATTAAATTTTCCCCGTTTTGTTTCTTATTTAAAATTACTCTCAAGAACAATTTTACAGCAAAATGACACCTACAACTTACACATGCAACAAGCAGACATCAAAATAAACCCGTAATCAAATCTGTAAACAAAATAAAGTAAATAAATTGCTAAAATAGCGATAAATCTAATTATCTAAGACTATATTGACACGCCCTCTTGAAACTTTACGAAAACATAATCGGCTAACCACTTCCCCATTGGACAATATTCATCAACCGCTTTACATTTCAAAACGGACACAGCGCGAAAAAACAAAATAACCGTTAAACTTCCCCAACCGCCGGTAAACATTACCTTGCTACAGACGGACTGTGTTTTGATTATATATAGGTTTTCATCATATACATCCTCTACAAGAACTTTAATTCGGACCAGATTAAGAGGATAAAGCGAGTTTTTTCGCACGAATGGTAACACTGTCAGCTTCACTCGTTACAAACTCGCGCCGCGTCCGCGTAAAGTCCCTAAAAACGCGCGTTTAAAGCGCACTGACGCGCGTCTTCAAGTCACTCACCTGTGAGCTGCTGTGGATCCGCTGTGAGTGAAGAAGAGATAGAAAGCGAGTTTAGAAACTCCAGCGAGCGTCTGACTGACTTCCGCCCCTTTAACACACGCGCTGCACTGACGCGATGACGTCACCGGCACAGCTGACAGCTGTCCGTCAAATATTTATTTATTAATTTGCTTACTTGATTCTCTGTTATCTGTTTTATTATGTTTGTTATATTTCTTGATGCTATGTTGTATTGTATTTACATTTGATATATCATTGGTTAATAATAAAAATTTTAAAAAAAGACAGCAGTACGTCAAATTGCTACACAGATTGTTCCCAGCTAAAGTGTTTTTGGAAAGGTTTAATCAGACATAGATACAAGCTGGTCATTTTGTGGTGTCCTAAATGAAACTGATATGCATATCTTCTGTTATTGTCCTCACACACAGCTATTTTGGATTGAATTCTCTAATGTTATCAATCGCAATGTGCTCCAGAGTTTCTCTTTGCTTTTTAAGGATGTCCTGTTTTGGCTTCTTTAAAATACAAAAAGATCAAATTAATGAATATTTTATTATTAACCTATTATTAAGCTACTTCTTGCAAAATGTCATATTCACCTCATCAAAATCCTTTATATAATATATGTGTGTGTGTGTGTGTGTGAGTGTGTGTGTGTGTGTGTGTGTGTGTGTGTGTGAGTGTGTGTGTG